AATAAATCTAAATCCTTCCTTCTGCTGAACAATGTAACATGCACATGATTTACACTGGTTCTTCAAGAAACAGCCAGTGCCACACAGGTCCCTACTGAAAACCGAAAATACTGATCAGATATTCAGTCCTCTTCTCCCCTTCCCTGTTATTTCTGCAATAGGAACACTGAATTGCAGAAGGAAATGACGACTGTAAATACTTGTTTTAATGCACAGAAAGACTTCAGACCAGCTCCATATGTCTTCTTCCTTAACAGAGAGGATAAATCTCCCTTTGAGCTTGTGGTCCACACAGAGATGCTTGCAAACAACAAGAATCAGTGTCGTTAGTGTCTTCCGCTCCTGTAGAAGCAGGTGCTAGTTAGTTTCCCATTACTCTTAAGTCTGCCTCACTATCAAAAGGTACAGCCTCTTTGGCATTTCTGTGGTGTTTACCAGCCCTTCAAAGCTGCAGACTCTGGGAGGTGACATGTACATCCATAAGGGCTGTTGTTTGCAGCCATCAACAATTGGCTTCTTGCACCAACTGCCAACATGAAATGTACATGGTAGAAGGTTGCAGAAACGATGCCCTCACTAGTTCAGGATTGAAGATTTTGCTGATCAGCCTACCCGTGACCCATTTTTTCTTTCCTGTATAATGAAGGCTCTTGTGAGACAATCTGCAGGTTCATCTTGCTCACCCAATACAAAAATGTAGGCTGGCAGAGAATCATGACATCACTTATTGTATCCTTCTGCTCTGATGCAGGACAGGAGAGAGACAGACCCTGCACTGCTGGATATTTTTTCGTGTCCTCCAGCAAATGAGCCTCACTAGCAAATGAGCCTTGCCATGTCTCACCATACTAACAATTAGATGGCTCCCTACATCCCTAACTGAAATCTTTCTGCTTGAAAATTTAGCAAGATTTCTTCTTCATCCTATTCACTGTGGACATAAAAAGCAACAGGCCATGATGTCCTTTTTCAACAACGTTTCAGATGTCCAAAGTTCTTTTCTCCTTCCTCTTTTTTTAGATAAAACAAACCTTATTTTTCCGTTTTATTTCATCAGTCCTTCTCTGCAGCTCCCTCCTACACTCCAAGGGAAACTTTCCTGAGCACAGATGTGCATAACACCTCTGTGGTAAGCAGGGAACAAGGTTGCATGAGTTCACTAATTCAGAAACTCACCTTCTTTCTGTGATAGGACAAGGGGAAAAGGTTTTAAACTAAAGGAGGGGAGATTTAGATTAGATATCAGGGAAATATTCCTCAGAGAGGGTGGTGAGGTGCTGGCACAGGCTGCTCAGAGAGGTTGTGGATGCCCTGTCCCCAGAGAGGTTGAAGGCCAGGTTGGATGGGGCCCTGGGCAGCCTCAGCTGGTGCTCGATCTAGCAGCTGGCAATCCTGCCAGTGCAGGGAAGTTGATCTTTGAGGTCCTTTCCAACGCAAGTCATTCTATGATTCTATGGACCATGACCCAGGCTGAACACATCTCTGAAAAGCCCATGCAGCAGCAAGTGGTGGGATCACTTTCTATCCTATTGTGATGCCATTCAGACTTCTGACAGAATGTCACACAGAAAATGACTCAATTCCTGGGGAGCACCAACATCTGCAATGGAGTAGGGGAACAAGGTAGAAGCACCCTGTGGTCTTCTAATCATGGCTACACCCATGGCTAAAAGAAGCAAAACAGATGCTAATAATTGATTTTTAGGAGGTCAAAAACCAGGCACTGATAATTAGAGGAGCAGCAGGCAAACATTTAATCTGCAGATGAGGTGGGTGTTTGTAGAGTCAGAAGATCAGGCAGAATGAAGCTTATGGCATGAGCTTCCTGTCTAAAATGGCTTAATGTGGCACCCCAGCCAAACACATCACCTGGGGCTTTGCAAGCCCAGCCAGGAGCAGGAGTTATGAGAGCATCTGAGGTAAGACATGCCCTAGGACACTTGTGAATCAGAGGGTGCTGCAAGCTAGATGGCAAGGTGCTCTGAATCCACAGAGAGAAAAGGTGGAAAAGTTTTAGCCAGGGGGGAGGCTGAGGACAATTGAGTGATACAGGTGATGCAATACTCACAGCTCTCCTTTGTTAAAAGCCATGCTCGGGAGGGAACCACAGACATAGTGAGGTCTGGCATCCCCAATGTCACTAGAGGAAAGGAAGGCAGCACACAAGAGGGGCTGGGAGCTGATGGGACGATTGCTGTGCCCTGCCTCAGCAGAGAAGGTGGATGTTAGCAGGAGCTGGAAAGCAGTGCTTGCCAGCTCTCACAAACTGTTCACAGACCCACAAGTCCTCACCATATGTGAGATTACAGAGGAGCAGAGGGAGAAGACAATCAGTAAAATAAAGCCCAAGTGAAAATTCTTCCAATACAAGACACAGACACAATAATGAGGATAGTACCTAGCCCCTGGCAGGCCTTACAACACCTCTGACCTCAGCCTATTGCTGCACTGAGGCAGAACCCTTCTGGAGTACCTCCACCTGCATGTCTGCTCCTCTACAGTCAATACAACAGAGGCACACAGGCACTCAAAAACACACCTAGTTTATGTTGGCTAGTGAAGCAAGAGCTCTACTAAACAGCTAATTAAGAGCTAGTGAGGGAAGGCATGTAGCCTTCTGCCTCTGAGGAACAGTCATGCTGAGAAGTGAATGAAGCGCAGAACGTTTGTTATGAAGAGAGGAATTGTTACTCATACCCACAGTAGCAGAAAGGCTCAGGATACTGCCCCTTTCCAGAAAGTGGCAACTATCTGTGTTTTTTTCGTGACTGTCAGCCCTGCAAGGCTTCCATTTGTCTGAAGGACACAGGAGGAGGTTTGTCATTACTGGGGTCTGGAGACAGCTGTAGCTCTTCTGGAAAATGAAATCCTGTTCTGAAATAGCTGGTGCATTTTTCAATGTTTTTCTTTCCATAACAGGCTGAAAAATCAAAATCTCAGCAAATTTCACAAATGTGGAATAGGTTCAGGGACTGCCTGCATCTTTGCTGCCAAGAAAATGGAAGGCTTCATGCGTGTTTTAAGATCTATCTTTCTGTACTACTAAATCCAGAGGAGACTAATAAAAACGATTGTAAGACTAGAAAACATGACCTAACAGGAGAGACTGAAAAAACTCTTGTTTAATCTGCAGCAGAGACTGGGAGACAGCATGATAGAAGCCTTCAAACATAGGTAGAGAAGATAAAAAAGAGGAAGAGAATAAACAATTCTCCGTGTCCACAAGGGAGATGCCAAGTAGTAATGGGCTTAAACTGCAGTCAGGGAAATCTAGGTTAGACATTAGAAAAACTTTCCAGAGTAAGGAGAAAGAAGGCATGGAAGAGATTGCCTCAGGATTTCATGGAGTTTCTAGCATTGAAGGACTCTCAGAACAGGTGAAACAAACATCTGTCAGAAATCATTTCAGTCTAGTTGATCCTTCCCTTGGGCGGAGGGGGAACTAAATGACCTCTTGATGTTCCTTCCAGGCACAACATCTGATAATGGATAAAAGTGTGCAGTGCTGTAATTAAAGACTGAGCAATCGTGAGTGCACACAAGTGGACTGAATCAGTGTTTGCTATGCAGCTACTTTCACCTCTCATCTCCTACTGCCTGTGTGTTTGACTGGGAAACTCTCCTGTTCTTCACAGTTTCTTCTGTGTATTACCCAGATGTTGCTAGGATGAAACACCTTGCTAATTTCACAGAAATTAGTGAGAGTTTGGATGATTTTACACTGCAAAGCAATTCACTTACAAATATATTTGGATTGTGTGCTAATAATATATGAATAATTTATGGTTTATATTGTGGCATTGCCTGGGAGCTGCTGTTAAGGGACAGCATTCCACTCAGTGTGCCTCTGCAAACATGGAACAAAATTATGATCTTTGCCACAGAGAGCTGTTTCACTCTTACGTTTTAACGTTTGCATTTCAGCTGAATGGAGAAAATTAATAACAGGACATTGTGATTCCAGCTATGAAATGTGTTTTTTGTGATCAGAGCACACTGGAGATGATTTCAATGTCTTCCAGGAAGAAAACATTTAAACAGCTCAGAGTGTGATTATAACAATCTGATCTTCACACTGAGATCCCCCTTCAAGGTGAAACATTTGTGCTCAGGAAGTACAAAGAACTGAACTGTTTCTGACTTTTGCCAAGCAGTCACGGAGAGAAGGCTTTTTCTGGCTAGCAGAACAAGGGAGCATTGTTCTAGGCCATACACATGATCACAATGATCCAGCCTGAGATCTGCTTCATGTCTGTTGAGTGCTCTACTGAATTCTCCTTGCTTTTACAACAAATTCTCATCCCCATCATTTTTCTGTGTCTTACAACTACCTCCAGCTAACCCCTCTGAGCAGCTGATTCAAACCATTCGGGAACACTTCTTCCCAGCCTGGACCACCGACATTTATGTGGGAGGTGAAACAAACTAAAGCTTTGCACTAACACAAAAATCCACACCATTTCTAAAATGGTGCTTTGGGTCACATACAAATTATTCAGAAATACACAAGTTTAGATATTTGAGCAAATTCATATGATCTCATGTACACATCCTACCTCATACACAAGCAAGTGACAGTGGCCAGATATATCAAGTACAGTTAACAGTGGCATATTACTAAGTGAGACTGTGGTTCAATCACAGCTAGTTATCATAGAGAACTCTACAGCCTCCAAGCCATGCAGATAAGTATTTTCCATCTGTGCCACTGAAACTCATGGCACAAAGGAGATCTCTTCTCTGAAAGACAGGAAAATTTATGTCCAGAGGTGAAAGAAAGGAAGTTGATGAATTTTTTATGCATGCTAATGGAAGAATGTAATGGCATCCTGCATGGAGATGACAGCAGCTTGGGTACTGGAGATACCAGTGGCCCAGGATGAAAGAATGAGATTGCCAACTCTTCATAAGTAAGAAAATGTAGGGGGATAACTTGCTCAGATCCTTCTTCCATCCTCCTCCTGCCTGACAAAGCTTGAGAATTACCAAACATGTCCTACCCTCTCCCACTTCCTCTCCTTGGTCAGAAGGATGATCACCAGCTTGGGATGCATCTGGTATCCGTCCTCACTGAATGACAAATTCCTGCCTTCGAAGGTGACGTTAATCAGGTACCTGTTGGAGAGAGAAAAGAGCAGGATGAACATTAATGCTTGGGAACTGAACCTGAAAGGAGAGCCTGCCTCCCCCTCTGCAATTTGTGCCAGGGTGACAGAAGTACACTACGAACAGCTGTTGTTAATCTGGGGACAGCAAAGGAAAATCTGAAAGGAAGTGGGTGGTAGAAACAGTACAAACAGTCCAGGAACTGGGGCAATCAGACAAGACACTTGTCCACATTTAGAATTGAGTACAGAAGTGATGTCCCATGTTAGGTCTCACCAAATTCCTGAAAGCAAGTGACAAGTGTACGTGTGCCCACAGTCTTTGATTTCTTCTTTGCACACAGGGCAGAGAAATCCATAGCAATTAGCTGTGTAAACATGGTCCACAGCCTACATTTTGCTCACGCTCCAAGGGGGATTTTGCATTTCATTTGAGGACAGTAGTGGTTCACACATGAAGCAGTGGATACAGCCCCTCCCTGCCCAAATATCCAGGCAGCAACAAAGGAAGCTGCAGGGAACAGAGGAATGAACAGTGCACCTGTGAGATACCCTGTTCCTATTAGAGTTAGCATGCCCTACAGGGCCCAAAGCGATCCTCAGAAGCAGCTTAGGAACAGGGTCAGAGGGTGCTCAGATACCCCAGTGGAAGTCCTTTTCACTAGGACAGAGCCATGCCATGTACCCAGCAAGATCAAACTATAGGGTGACCAATCCTGTGGATCCCTGCAGCCAACATTAACGATTCCCTTTGTCTGGAAGGGCTCCGTTGCTGCTGTGTGAGGCACCCTGCTTTGGGCCATCTCATGTCAGCTGTACAAATGGACTATTAAACAGTCCAGGCTTCAGTCTCATTTATCCTCAGGCCTCTTCACTCAGCCGGCAGTGGGGAAGACCTTTAAGTGGACCGAGATTACAACTACACTCATTTCCAGGCATTTCTGCATTGCGAGAGCATGTCGAAGTGGCGTTGCTGTATAAGGGAATCAGATCTGTTGTTTTCTTAACTGTCAGACCATCCAGAATGACACTGGGGGGAAGGCAAATACACATTTCACAGTTCAGTGGCTTACAAGACATCTCCATGGCACTCTGACAGTTTCCCCTGTTCATATATTTCACTTTAGTTCACAGTCCTGTTTCATAAAGTAGGTTTTGCCTTTGTACACCTGCTCTAGCACCGGTAGCATCACATCATGGGAGAGGCAGAGGTGACTGAGCTGCCTGCAGGGCAGCCCCAGGACACTGCCTGCCTCTGCTTCACCCATTCTCCTGTAAATTACACAAGTAACATTTCCATTACAGTCACAAGAGGCTCTTCTGCTCTATTACACCCATGACGCTAGCAAATATTTCCTAATACTCAGCTTCAGTTTGTCCCTTTGAACTTAATTTGAACCAATTTCAAGGGAAAAACAATCAAATCAAAAATACAAAACAAATTCCTGTTCTTTCAAGAGGTTCACACTTTCCCACAGAGAACTCCATACTAATTTAGCAAAAGTATAGGTAGTAGGCAAAATTTTTCAAATGGAAAAGCAGGTCACAATTTTAGCTTCTTCCATTTCCCAGAAATTTTTTTCTTAAGTTTAATCGTCAACAAAACTCATCCACTAATTTCCCAAATCAAATGTAATTGGCAATTAATTCTAAAGGAAATTCCATGCTTGCTCTATGTTGTGACCTCCAGAAGACATACACAGTGTGGAAAACACAGCCCTAGAGAAGCCCAGTGGGAAACATTGCAACAGGCCTATTTTCAAGAGCAGACTACTTGCTGTTTTCTGACAGTCAGACTCATCCAGAACCCAAAAACCGAGGGAACTCCAAATCATCAGTTGCTTGAAAAATCTCAGCCACATAACTGTGTCTTAGTGTAAAACATCCCATGGTCTTCTAGCTTTTCATCCCCAGCTGTTTGCATTACTCTGGTAGAGAGGAACGCACAGCACAGACCACCACGGGCATTTGTGGCATACCTGACCTGTGAAACACTCTGACAGTGATAAAGACCCTTCAGTCTGTGACCAGACTCTGAGCACCCTGATCTAGCTATAGGTGTCCCTGTTCACTGCAGGAAGTTGGATCAGATGGCCTTTAAAGATCCCTTCTAACTCAGAAGACCGTGATTCTGAGATTACAGCTATATCCCTTTCATGACCTCTATGCGCTGGGTCTCAGAGAAATTACAAAGCAAGGCTCCAAGAAGATGAGTACCCCAGTAGCCTGATGGGAGTTGCAGCTTTATGTGTCAGTATTTAGAAAACAGTGTCAGTGTCTAATTAAACAAATAGTGATATTAGGTGGTTCTCGGTCCTCTTTCCCCTCCCACCCGAGAATGATGCCATTGTGTGAATCTCCCTTGCACAGCCTAACAAGAGTTCACATAAATCAGTAGGAGATACAACACAAGAGGGTGTAATTTCTGTTCGTTTTCTACCAGAAAGATTAGAACTGCTAATAATAATCAAGGAGGAATCATCAGTGACTCCGATCCTTAGAGTTGCCTTGAGATTTACACTTCAAGCAGCACTAAAATCCCTCACTTCGCACCTTAATGACTGAAATTAGTCTCCAAAATTGGCACAATAACTCTTCAGAGGGTTCTCTCTGTAACCCTTTAGTAACATGTTTACAAAAGTGTGCAGGAGGTGTGCAAAAAAAAAAAAAAAAAAAAGAAGCAGCTCCCTCTGCAGCTTTTCCCACATTCCAGTGGCTCACAGGTCCCACCACACTGGGGTAGGCCTCTGCCACCAGTATACCAGCATTATCACTGCCCACTCTGGCCAGAGGAAAATCAGTCCCCAGATGAGCAACCAAGGGGCTGAGAGGCTCCCTGCATATGTGCAACAGGGGCAGCATGAGGGCAGCGAGCTGTACATGGGTAACACAAGATGAAGCTGTGCCTGAAAGATGCAGTGAGGGCTTGATACATGATTTCCCTGGTGTATGTGACTCCAATATGGAGAGAGAAAGAGAGCAAGATCATTTTAATTAATTTCATTTGCTAGAATCACCTTTCAGCAAAGATTTTTGTTTACGTGGGTGTTTCTGGAGCTGCTTGTCGTAGGCATGGGAGAGTCTGTGGCCCAGCACAGATAGAGCAGTTGCAGCGCCCAAACGAAGCCATGTGGATGCAACATGCAGATGACATGGAGAAAACAGTCATTCTTCACCTGTACCACAGGGCACGCAGGCAGGAACAAAGCAGAATGGAACGCATTCTTGGGCACAGAGCAAGTCAGGTCCAGGAGACATGGCTCCCTGACCACTGGGTAACATCACTCATCCTAGAGATGAAGCTGCCAGCCCTGCAAGCTAATGGTGAGTATTTCCAAGGCTGGTTGGCATAGGAAATAGAGCATTAAAACCACATCAGATGGCAAATTTAGGACCAGCAGAGAGATGATGACATTTTAAATAGTTTCAGCTAGTGGTGGGGAAAGCCTGGAGAAGCAAATGCGGCAGGCTGAGGGGCTGTGGGGAGAGTAAGAGAGGGTGTCAGCTGAATTTTAGTCTGCCCTAAAGACAGCTCTGAAAGGGATGTGTTTAAAATCAGCACGAACCGCTCTGACTTCTGCCTCCAGTGTCCTGCTGGGAATCAGTTCCTCCTGCAGCTATGGAACGGGTGGGAAAATCCGGTCAGAGTGCTAGCTCCATCCTCAGCTCTCCCTGCATCACACGTGCACAAACACACACAGGCACTCCCCTGTGCCCTGTCAATGCTTGTTATACTCCAATGCGACAAGCGGTCTGATTATCCCAACACCAACTGCCTCCCCCAGTAAGACAGGCTGTACAAATAAAGCAGCCTCTTTGCCATCCACATCAGGGGGTCATCTCCGCAGCCCAGCACAAAAGCAAGGTAGGAAAGGAGAAATGGGGTGCAGGCGGAGTGTAGGGAGGAAAGGCGATGGGATATCTCTGCCTGGAAGGATTTGCAAGGTAAAAGGTATTTGGTGCAGGGTTAGGGGAGGGGACGCAGTCTATCATCAGCCTCCTGAAAACTCAGCATAATACAAAATACTGAGGCCAGTTCAGCAGTGTAATGGCAGTGAGGGGAAGCAGTGCCTTTACTCCCCAACTTTGCACAGTAAAGTAGCCTCTGTGTTCCCTGACAGATGGGATTACATAGCCACTGGCCAGAGCTGCAGGCTGCAGGCACAGTTGCTCTCCCAGCTCTACTTCACACAAGAATGCTGCATTGCTGCATCCCAGCACGGCTGCCTGCAGTTCCAGCCACGTTACACATGCAGTTTAGTGCACACAGCTCTGGTGCAACTCCCTGCTGCAGCTCCCTTCCCTCCCGCATACCAGCTGCTGGACCAGGATGGGCAGACGGAAGAGTGAGTGGACTCAAAGGACAGGGGAAGGGGCGCTTAGGACCACTGTCGCTATCTAAAAATGGCAGTTTTGACCTTCAGGTGGCAAGTGATTGACAAAGAGAGGCAGAACCAGCACTAACTGCTGTTAATAGTTTCTTTCATTTGAGAGACTGAAATAGTGTACGCTTTTTTTTAATGAGAAAACTGCAGTTGATCCCTTCGACTTCTGATGTAAACCTCCATTCTCCAAACCCATGGGAAGCTTAAAATAATACAGATATTATTTCTCTATACTGTTGCCGACATTTCCGTGCCTGCCTCTGCCTCAGAGGATAGCCAATACATGCACACATCCATCCAGACCCAACTGTGAGGACATGAGGTCCCTCCAGATAAGACAGGCTGCAGGGGACATCAAATACAATTTCTCATTCCCCAAAAGATCATAAAATCACAGAATGGTTTGGGTTGGATGGCACTTCAAAGCCCACCCAGTTCTACTCTGCTACCCTGGGCAAGGCTGCCACCCCCCAGCTCAGCCTGCCCAGGGCCCCATCCAACCTGGCCTTGAGCTTCCAGGGATGGGGCACCCACACCTTCTCTGGGCAAAAGATGAGAATAGGCTCTGTGTGGGCCTTGGATCAAACTTCCCCACTGCTGGTACCGACCCTGAGTGAGCCCTTGA